AAAGCTGGGCAGTCATGGGGTCACATGACGGTGACCTGTGTCTATGAGAGCACATGAGTGTTCATTACATCATTCCCTATTTCTTTTTATATGAATGAAATATTTCCTAATAAATAACAAGAGTACATGTAGCAGTATTTAGTATAGAAGAACAGCAAGTTGGGGGTATGCCCTGAAACTGGATGTAGTCCCCACATGCCCACCACAGTCTCGTCTAGGAAGCCATCACAGGGCTGCAGGGAAGGCACCACCTGGTTCTGCACAAGGGTGTCTCCAGCGCCCTGAGGTCGCTCACTACCGAAGAGCAGGTGGCTGGGCACCACCTGTCCCCTCCGCTGCCAGGTTCCTGCAGTGAGGGGTGGGGGTTGCTCCCCAGGAAGCTTTGTATCAGAGGCCAAGGGGAAGCTTTTCTAGAGGGGAAAGAACTAGGTAGCGGGTGTGGATGGGGAAATGAAGCCATCGTCATCTGGGGATTCTGAGTCCTTATCTGCTGACCTGATGCTTTAGGGGATGGAGTCCATCTCATGAGGCAGAATTGTGGTGGGAGGAAAGAAAGTGGGAGGAAATGAGGGAGGGAAATAGAGGAAGAGGGAAAAGAAGGATGGGAGGGAGAGAGGAGGGAGGAAAGGAAGAAAAGAAGGGAGGGAGGGAGACAGAGAGAGAGAGAAGCAAGCAAGCTCTTTCTCCAAGTCTCTGTAAGATTCCCGCTGCTGCTCTCCCACACAGCGGGGAAGGAAGCCGTCCTCCCTTTTGGGGAAGGAATCATCACAAGAGCTCAGGACCCGGAGACTCCAGGGACAGGGCTCCTCTTTGCAGCCCAGAGTGCCTGCCACATGGGAAGGGGGAGCCCTCTGGGGAAAGAGCTGTGCTCCTCAGGGTTGGTGAGCACAGACACACTGGGACGCACACACGTGGCAGGTGACACGTGACTCTGTCAGATAAAATGCAATTCCAGAGAGAAGGTATCCAAACAGAGGAGATGGTCCCGTGCTGGCCAACTGGACCAAAGGCACCCGGCAGTGTGCGTAAGAAGCCTCTGTGTGCTGACTGTGTGTCCAAGCGTTAGAAAATCTGTTCAAATACAACAGGAAGTAAAAGAAACAATTGTAATGAGTTTCCACACACGCCTCTCAATCTCTGGCAGATCAAGTAGATCAAAAAATAAAGGTACAGAGGATTAAACAGCGTCATCAGCGAAGCTGGAATAGGAGCAGGATATCAGACTAAGGAGAAACGCCTTTCCAACTAAAGAATCAGGTAAAACACGTGCTCCAGGCTGTGCTCCTTGACTCCTGCTTGGCCTTCCTGAGCAGATCATCACTACCTCCACGCTTGATCCTAGTCTGCCCTGGCTACAGTTTTCCTCTGTGTCACACTTGCTCTGCTGTCCGGTGACAGGGAGGCTCCTCCAGGGGCCCACGTGGGTCACGTGGTGTTACGACACTAGCTTCTGTCTGCCTTGAACACTCTCTCCTGCACAAAGAATTCCAGAGTTTCTGTATCCCATAGCAACATACGTGTGTGCGCGTGTGTGCAGGAGCCCCTGTGCTCTCACAATTAAGCCATGATCCTTGACCTCAGAGGATTCCCAGCCCCGGGGGCAACGGAGGGAGAGAATGGGAAGTGGACAGAAGCCTGCTGGACGTCCAGGAGTGGACAGCGCGACGGTAGTGCTACAGGAAATGCAGCCATGCGCGCACATCTGGCGAGCTCCCGAGTGTCTGCGCCAGCCCAGGCTGTACACAGGACGTGTTGCTGCCTTTGGAAACGCTCGACTCGCCCAGTGTGTGAGTAGATAGGTGTACAGCTTACAACCGTAAAGCGTCACTAGACCCTCAGGAGAACGGTGAAAGTTAGAGACAACCACAGTGCCACAGGCTGGCAGGAACGGGAAGACGCCGAATGCCTCACCCGCGGACAGGGATGTCAAAAGGTGCAGCTGCCCTGGGGAGTGATCAGGCAGTTTCTTATGAAACCGAGTACGTGCCTGCTGCGTGGCCCAGCAGGTGTCCTCTAGGCACTTATTCTGGAGAAATGAAAATCTATGTCCCCAGAAGGACCCGACAGAGAAATGGCATAGCAGCTTTCCTTGTAATAGCCAAATTCTGAAGACGCCCCAGATGGTCCTCAGCAAGTGACTAGTTAAGAAAATCTCTGGTCCATCTACGCAGTGGAACATCGTCACTCGGTCACACAGAGTGCACCCAGCCGAGCCGGAGCTCCAGCACAAGATGCTTGGTAAACAAAAGTGGGGTTTATGAAACCTTCTCCAAGTGACAGGCCTGCAGAGACAGAGAAGAAATCAGAGGTTACAGGACCCAGCGACCCAAGATGGGATTGGGTTGGGCACAGATGCAGAGATACAGCAGTAGGGGCCTCTTCTGTGGTGTGGAGCAGATCTGCCCTTCGGTGGGGGACCCTGAAACTGTAGTACAATGCCGTTAAACAGATACACAGAGACAGATGCAGGCCAAGGTTGGGAAAGGTTCATGGCCCAATGATTACGCTAAGGAGCGATGTCCTCATGTTAGTTTCCTGGGGTTTTTATTATCAACTAAATTTTATGCAACCTGATAATATTTTCTATATAATCCAAAACATCCTAGGAGTATAATTAGTTTTGAATTACCATGTATAGTGAATAGGGTTGTGCTTTTATAGTCTATCTGCAATTTTAATATTATATCAGAGCTACGTACAAATCTCAGTATTGGGGGACTCTCATGAAGGGTTCACGAGATTCCATATGCCTTTTGCAACTCCCTGTAAGGTTATATTCAACATAAATGGTGGAACACCAGCAGGGAGGAGGTGGAGGTGACAGTCACACCCACAAGTGGTACTAAAACCAGGGAAATGGAGATCATTTTCTGAAAAGCAAAACAGCACCAGCCAGCCTTGCCTGGAAAGGAAAATTGCATTCCTAGACCACAAAACACAGAGAGCGGGCTGCAGAAGAAGACACAACACGCTGCAGAGGGGAGGTGGCAAGTTAGGGTGAGCGAGGGCAAAGCTGGTAAATGGAGACACGGGTTACAGCCACATGTAGGTGTCTTTAATATCAAGCTGTGGGGAGTGAGCGCGTCGCAGGTAGCAGGACGCCACTGTAAACAGCAAACTGGGATGTCTCACTGTAAGCCACATTAGGGAGCAGACCCTGGCAGAGGTCTGGAGTAGGCTGACGTGGGCAGAGACAGGGACAGGCACACCAAGCGGCCAGGACACAGGCGTCCTGGTCCAAGATTGAGCTAAGGTGATAGCTGCGGGGTGAGGAAAGCCGAGTCTGATTGGAAGATGCTGAGAATGGATGGGAATCAGTCCAAGCCTGAGGCTGGAACCCCAGGAGAGGAAAGGGGTGGGATGGGATGGGACAGCAGAGCTTTCACTCTTCCCGGGGTGCAGATCCTATGCAGATGTCGTGCATATGAGGTTGAGCTTGAGACAGGGCAGCTGGGCTTGATTTGCGGGGTAAGCATCGACAATAGGGGGGGAGGAGGAGTTAGGGTCCCCCCGTGAGTGCAAATGCCCCTGGTAGGGAATCTGGGAAATGTGAACCAGCTTTGCACTTTGTCCTTCAGCTTGGAGTCTGCCAGACAGGTGCCTATCCAGCTGCACACCAACATCACCTTCTCCCTCACCCTCCGGTCCACTTCCCTAACAACCTCCCCGCACAGCCGTTGTCAAGGCGGATGCAGATGCACCTCACCCACCATAGCAACCAGTTCCCGGAGACCAGGCAACAGCAAAAAGATGGGGAAAATTGCTCATTGTCCAAGTGGCTACTGGCAACCTCACCGAGTGCACAGACTCTCACCCCTGCAATTAATCCTGATTGCAAGTTCTCAAAATAGAGCCCCTCATTTAGCTGTCAGCCTCCTGGCACTTAGGGCGTCCAAAGAAAAATCACAGTAGCTCAGACCTCGTCTCTGGGGGCTGCTTGTTTTGAAGGCCTTTTCTTTGGTGAGAGGCGGAGGCTACTTCAGATCAGCAGCAAGATTTCTTGGATCTCCCTAGAGGATCTGGTTGCCCTCTTTAGGGTGACGCCTGGTTTTTAATGATGGGGCAAAGGGGAGGGGGCAGCAGGTGGATGGGTGTCGCAGTGCCTTTCTGCATCTCTGCACACCATCCAGGAAAACGCCACGGGGGTGACTCGGGCCTTGCTGTAGACAGAAGTCTAGCGCACAGCACTTTGGTTTCCTTGGAAGAGACGCAGTGTTGGTGCAAGCAGTTGCCGTGTGGGTGACTTGGTGCCAGCCTGCTGAGACTTGCTGCCATTTTCTTTGACCACGGAATTGGCTCATTTAGCCCAGAAATGGAGCCTGTGGAGCAGATGTCCGCGCAGGCTGAAAGACACGTCAGTGTGGCCCTTTTCGTGAGGACACAGCATTGCTCGGATCTCAACCAGGAATATTTGTTAGTGGGAACTTAAATTCAAGCCATGAAGCGCATGTTATTTTGTTAAAAGCAAAATGTTTTATTTTCCCCACTTATTCAAGTAATATGTACTTATTATCAAAGATTCAGACAAATCAGGAATAATGCAAAAAGCACAGTAGAGCCAGGAGTGGTGGCGCACGCCTGTAATCCCAGCACTCGGGAGGCTGAGGCAGAAGAGCTGGTGTGAGTTCACGCCTGAAGGACACAGGGAGACCCTGTCTCAACAAAAAAGGAAAAAGAAAAACACTAAAAAAAGGTACAGTGATGCCTCAGTTCATGAAGTTAGTTCGTCCTACAGTTCTGGAGAAGACGGCCACGTTCGTGTTCGTGCGGCAAAGGTGGCCACTGTCAGGTTCGTCACCAGTGCAGAGTCCCACAATGTTGCCAAATGCTTCTGCTTATGAACTAAATTGTTCACAAAAGCATTCGTGAACCGAGCACCACTGTGAATATTATCTGTATTTCACTTCTCTTGATGCATATACTATCTTAACACTTTTTAATCTTTTTATCCTTCCCTATTGATACAGAGATTTATTTACACAAAAAGAAATGGGCTAGGTGACAGAAGGAGAGAGAAGTTCATAAACATACTTTTTAAGAACAGAAATCTTTTTATTTCACCGGGTTGATAGTTTATAATGGGTGCTGTTATGGAGCAAATCCTCGCATGCGTAGGTCTCACTCCCAATGAGACTGTCCTTGGAGACAGGCCTGTAAGAAGTGATTGAGCTAAAGTAGGTCCTACGGGTTGGGCCCTGATGCAGTCTGACTGTGTCCTTCCAAGAAAGGGAGATCAGAGCTCATCTGTCAACCAGCATTCAGGAGGCTGAGGCAGGAGAGCTGCAAGTTCACACCAACCCTGGGCAACTCAGTAACTTAAAAAGAGGCTGTGAAAATAATAATAAGCGCTGGGGTGTCGCTCAGCATAAAGTTGCTGGGTTCGGTTCCCAGTACCGAGGAAAAATAAAATAAAAGAGATCAGGACACAGAGGAAAGGATGAGGACACGGATACCCAGAGGGACAAGCCCAAAGGACACAGAGGAAAGGCTTGCTTTCTACAAACCCAGAGTGAGGGCCATGTGGGCCCTTCAGCCACCAGGGCTATGAGGAAGTCATTTTAGTTACTTACGCAAGGCAGCCTGTGGTGCGGTGTTGGGGCAGCTCTAGCACCCTAATGCAAGTCTCTCCCAGGGTTTAAGAACAGTGTTTAGTGCTTTCACAGCTGAGCAATAACCATCAAGTAGCTCGGTCCTAGCTACACCTCAGCCACCCCTGAGGACGTTAAAGCTGAGCCTAGGGGACACGTCATCAGCGGTCCCTGGCTGCCCTGACGTCCCCGTCAATCTCACACGCTTCCCCTTCGTGGTCATTTTGACTCTGAGGAAGAGCCAGGAGACGAAGTGGATGAGGACAAGGTGTGATGTTTTCATTTGACAGAAGTTGCCATAAGCAGTGGACCAAGCTGGGATGATCATAAAATACAGCGTTTAAATGTAAAAATGTGTGACAGTAAAGACAGAGGATCATTAGCTCCCCTCCAAACACTCCAGACACTGCCCCTCGCTTCCGTATGCGTCCTGCCCTTTGTCCTGTCCTTCTTGGCCGTGTGTCTTTGCTGTCGTGGCTTTTTACACTGGAGACATTTGCCGTATCTGCCAGCCACCCCTTGTCTATGAGGGAAGCCGTGTGGCATACTCACCCACAAAGATGAGAACCGGTGGAAATCTGAAGGCGGTGCAGCCGATGCTTCCTGGAGTCATGTCTGAGGTCACTCAGGTGGGGGCCACGTGCCTCAGGCCCCATGCTCCTGCGCTGGCCTGAAGGAGCCGCCGGCTCTGCCTGACAGCACGCGTGCACGCTGGGGCTGAGTGTTCCTCATGGTCTCTCTTCACTCAGAGCCACCAAGGCCTCAGTGAGGGCCCCCACTCCCCTGGGAGGGACACGCCACACGTCAGCCCGCACGCCCCTAAGTCCTGAAGTACCCTGAGACCCACTCGGTCATCAAGCTCCTCCTGACTGGCAGCGCTGTTTGCCAACAGTCCCTGCTCCTGCTCCTCTGTAAGCTGCGTCCCCTGGCAGAAGCAGGACACTGAAAACCCACAGCCATGCACCCGCAAGCACGTACCTCTCGCTCCTGGATGCGAAGCTCATGCGCCTGCATCCCAAAGCGCGAGCAGCTATGGTTTCCCGCGTGTGTGCCGTGTGTGCATACACGCACACCCATGCTTCTCCGGCGTTTATTGGAAAGCTGCCTAGGACACGACCCATGTGTCAAGTCCATGGTGGGCACCAGCTCGGCTGTGAGGTGCGTGGGGAGAGCGGTGGCTCCAGCCCTGTGCTCCTGCTCCTCCCAAGGCTGAGCCTTCCGTGTGCCAGCCGTGGAGGTGACTGAGTGTCCACGACCCATCAGCACAAGCGGCCCTCCAGCAAACCCTCCGAATCGGCAGGGTGGGAGACCAAGGAGGACGCCAAGATGCTCCCTCAGGAGAGGAGGAGCTCTCCAGCAAGAAACAGGAGACCGCATGGATTCCAGAGGCGCACGGTCAGAACTGCAGATCCTCTCGGCTTTCCTGTACAGTGAGGGACAAAGGTGTCAAGACGATTCGGATGCTTGGGCCACCCCAGAATTGCTCTCCGCGCCTCTAACACACACTCATACGGGTGTGAGCACACACACACACATACAGACCCGTGTGTGTACACGTACACACATGTGTGTACTGTGCGCACATAGAAAGCATGCGGAGTCACAGAACCGCTGGCACGGCACACACACTTGTGCACACACATGCACACACACACAGGCCCGCCTGTCAGTCTGTATCGGGAGCCCCTGGAAACACCGCGCACCCCCTTTCTCTTGGGAAGCAAGCGGACAGCTCGGCCTTCTGTGCACACCGCCTTAGCCGAATTCAGCACCTACAGCACCACTTTCTCCGCTTTGGCCCGTGTGGCCCATTTTTTAGACAACATAATATGTCCCAAATTCACTAATGTTTGCTAATATTTTCATTGGTAACTGACTAATAGATACCTGTATTATTTTATATCATGTACCAATTCACCAGTCTTTCACCTGGAACCTGTAGAAGGTGGAACCGACGCTCAGTGCGCGTAGCCGACTGCCCCCGCTTCCCTTCAGACTGCCCTGCGGGATGAAGTCGAAAACCTCTGTGACCCGCGCCTTCGCCCTGCTTCGGCTTCTCGCTGAGTCCCGGCCTCCGCGCACAGGCAGGACAGTCTCCTGCGCCCGAGCGCGGGGTCCAGGCTGGGTGGGCAGCGAGGGCAGGGCGCGGCGTCCGCCGCAGGAACCACGCGAGCATCTGCTGAGGTTTCGGGGTTCGGCTTTCGGTGTTTGCTCCGCGGCGCCCAGCTGGCCGACCAGGGCAGGAACAGCCCCTCGCTGAAAGGCTGCACACTGGAGTCTGCTCTTGCGGCTCCGGTTCCTATGCTCACCCCACGGTCGCCACACTGGAGCGTGCAGCTCCGTCGGTCTCGCGTCAGCGGACACTGGTGTGGCGGCGCTGGTCCGGAGCGCAGCCTGCGGCGCGGTTCTCACACGCGCCCCGCACCCACTCGCCAGGGGCTTCGGTGAGCGATCACAGGCCCTGCGCCGCTGGCATCTCTAGCATCTTCCCCGCTTCGGGTTAGGGATGCTCATGAAAAGCCATAGTTCTAAGCAAATCAGCAACACGGCCTAGCGGGAGACTGCTTTCACAATCACCTTTGAAAACTGACACCGTCTCAACGACTTGAAGATCAGACAGACCTGACTGCAAATTCTCCTCCTCTCGCTGCAGCCTAGACAGCCCCCTGTGTAAACGACCAGGATTCACACACCAGAAAGTGCCGAGTGGCCTCTACCAACAGTCAACTGCTGACACCACCCAAATAACAAAACCGTAGAATATTTGTACAAAGGAATATTATACAACAATGAAAACTGTAGGTACCAGTGCACACAAAGGGAAAGGCAGTGTGATGCTATCTTATATGCACATCAAAAACAGGCAAAGTGAAACTGAACTGCTTATGTTCACAGAGGTAACAGCATGCACTGCATGGGTTAGCATTCTGGCTCCACTGTTTGCTAGCTGTGTGACTTTAAATTAAAGAGTCATGCAGCCTCTCTGTGCCCCGATTTCTGTACCCTTTTACAAACTTGGTGTAGTGATAATGCCTCCCTGCTAGGGTTGCTGTACAGGTAAACAGCGGATAGATTCCTCAGCAGAGTGTGCAGCAGCATTCGCTATAACCTCATCATTGGTATATGAGGTGTTTCTACGAGGGCGTTTTCCATCCTTGGCACCAGCACGGACAAATGACAAAGGTGTGCAGAAAAGAAAAGATACAAATCCCCATAATCAAACAAAAAATACACGTGCCCGCCCCCAGCAAGCAAACAGGAACTCATAGCTACACAAAGAGTGCACCCTGAGAAACAGATGTGGATCCCAATGGGGACAGAGTAGTCAGAGTGACTTCAAGGACCAGGCAGAATTTCAGAAGTTAAGCTACAGTGGGTCGTAGGCTCGAAGACAGGTGGACATCCAGGGTGTCGGCCCTTCTCTAACAAGAACCCTAAGGTAGAAGACACCCAGGGCACCTCAAGAGCACCGAGGACAGAGGCCCTGCTCCCCTCCCAGGGGTCACTGCTGCCATCCCAGAAGCCTCGGGCCCCCCGGCTGCAGTTACCACCTGTTAGGAAATGCCGGACCTCTGCAGCCATCGTGCTAGTGAGGGTGATGGGTCGCCAGCTCCAAAGTTAAATCATAACTCGGACCTAACTACTCCGTGTCTGTCCTGGAGCCACTTGGGGATGGCCAGTTCTGTTTCCATGGAAACTGCCTGCCTTCTGATAGCGTCAGAATACTGAATAAGGGGGGGGAGGGCTGGGGAGACTGTTTGCTTCCAAGCTTCTGAGAGCTGCTGGCGGGCTCTTGTCTGACGCTCGTGTTTCTTCTGGCCCTCCCCATGGGCTCCTGGCTTCCCCTGGGACAGGATGGCCAGCTGCCCCGGGGGAGGCGGGGGGCAGATGGCTTCTGAGACAAAAGCCACCGTCGTTTCAGAATCTAATCTCAGAGGGAGGAGGCGCCGCCACTGCCTCCCTGTGCGCTGTTCCTGTGGACCTGTGACTCTGTGCCCCGTGGGAGGGAGCCACGGGGGATTGGAGTTCCGGGAGGTGGGCTGTGGGGCCATCTTGGGGACTGGCTAACACATGATCGTTTTAGAATTAATGTTCTGGGCATCCCATACCCAGTTTTATGTGATGACATGATCTATTTTCTTACCATTTTTCATTTACTATCACTGTTGGCCAAAAATTCAGGTTTACTTATATTTCCTTTTTCTTTTCCTACCTAATTATTTGGAAGGTTTCTTATTGGGCAACATAGAGCATGTAGGTACATGAACAGACAAGAAAAGAGTAAAACAAATTACCTGCCTATTTCCATGTGAACCAGAGGAAAACTCTGTGCTTAGTATCTTTTGGTTAAAATCACGGTTACCACGCAAAATACATCAGCTTCCTTCCAACCGTGGGACGAGACACAGCCTGGGAGTGCGTGTGGTGTGAACGCTAGCGTTCTCCGCTTTGCCCTGGTGGGTGTAATCGCTGCCAGGATGCGGGAATGCTGCGTTCTTGTTAAAGCTTAACATCAGATACATCCCACTGTCGCTTGGAAGCGTGTATGTGATTAATGGTTATAATCAAGGTAACTTCATTATGTAAGCATAATAACCAGCCGAGAAGACATTTCAGTATGTGCTAAGAACTTATTAATTCCTGGCTGGAGAAATCATTTTCTTGATAGGGATTAGAGCTGCCCAGTAGGCAGCCTCGCTTGTTAAAACTTTTATGAACAATAAGTATTTGAACGGGAGGAATTTCTGGTTCGGCAGCAGCGGTAATCGCGCTCTGTATTTCTCCGGGGCCTTTCTTCAGATGCCCCCCGTGCTTCCCCCAGCACAATCATATTCATCCTCCTCAGATCCCCGAGGGGCTGCAGGCCCCATTGTTCTTACAGATGAGGAAACGGAAATGAAACAAGGACAGAGACCCCCACGCAGGAAAACACTGTTCGGCCTTGCATGGAGGAAGGAGAAGCAGGCGAAGAATAACAATCCATTTTCCCCAGCGAAGCTCTCTCTGCAGACGTTCTGAAGAACTGTGTTTCCTAGAGCGGCCAGCGTAGCTCCATTGTTCACTACGCCAAAGAGCAGAAGCCACCAAGCATCCATTAGCAGAGGAATGGGCTGAGGAGGATGCGCTCTGTCCCCGTACTGCAGTATTCTCCCGTCTTTATAGAAAAGCAGATTCTCACAGAGGCTGTAGTGTGGCTGAAACCTGAAGACGTTATGCTGGGTGAAGTAAACCGGGCTCAAAAGGACAAGCACTGTCTAACCCACTTGCCTGAGATCCCTGGAATTATAGTCATGTTGGAGAGACAGAGAGCAGACGGCGGATGGGTGGGCCAGGGGGTGAAGATTGTGTAACAGTGTAAACACGCTTCATAGCGGCTAAAGTGATTAAAATAGTAGAAATGTATGGTATGTTTTTTGCCAAAAAACATGCTGAGGAGAACAAGTGTTGTTTGTGGCAGCTAAGGAAGTGCTGCCGTGGCTTCCTCCTCGGCCTCTGGACAGGTGAGAAATGGGGGCCACGGGTGTGGTGAAGCGGTACGGACAGGCTAGTTGGACGGGACCACTGCTGACAGGAGGGAGACTGCCCACTTCCGCTGCAGACGCCTGTGCCTCTGTGGGCAGCACCTCCGCCAGGGGAGCAGCGGAGGAGGGTGCAGATGCTCCCCACCCCATTTTCAGGACTGTGCCCAAGAGGCCTATGTTTCACCCAAGAGCCAGCCACTGCAATGCTCTCTACTCCCACCAGCATGACCAGGCTGTTGGTTCCTCCCAGAAATAACAGTGGCTGCTCGGGAAACTTGGCGCTGCCCTTGCGTTTGGGGAACGTGCCACCAGCCGTGGCCCCTCTGGTCCCACCGGACACTGAAGCCGGGTCAGGTTCCTCAGCCGCCATCTTGGTTCTTGGTAACTTTATCTGAGACTGTGTTTTGCACATGCAGTGCAGGAAGCAGGAACTGTGGCCATGGAGCCTGGGTTCCCGTGCCCGGCCCCTCCCAGGAGACAGTCTGTGCTCACTGCCCACTGCCCCAGTCCTCCGCCTCATGCCACCCGCTGCCCGTGGGACTATGGTTCGGTGGGGAGGACGCCAGGGTCAGGCCTAGGCAACGTTTCTGAGTGGGTCAGGGGCATTCACAGGATGACCCAGTAGGGTGGGCCTCAGGCTCCACATGGCCCAGGTCCAGCACATCAGTCTTGAGGATGGCTGATCCTGGCACCCGAGCACCTTCACCAAGAGGCAGGGCCCCGCTGTGGGTGCGGGAGACTCACAGTATGCCTGGCCAGTGTGTCACGCCTGGGGCATGGGGACAGTAAGCTGAAAATAGAGACTCTCATGGTTTGTGGACAGAGAAAGATCACAGAAACAGGAAGAAGGCTTTGCATCTTAGAACTGTAATAGCTCCTTTCATTCTGCTTTTTTAACCGACTGCTCCATATTTTCGTTTTGCTCTGGGGCCTGCAAATGTTGTAGCCAGACTGCGCTGCGTCATCCCACAAGGATGCTGTGGGGATCCTCACCTGCAGCTTGGGAGATGGGGCTACCCGAAGGCATAGGGAGGCCCCACAAAGTGGACTCAGTCTCAGACCTAGGGCTTCTGGGGACCTTCAGGCCTTGGAAACAGCCTGGCGCATTGCTGGATGGATGGCCTCGTGGCTGGACGCTGTGCCCAAGGGCCAGCTGCTGCCCCCTCTTCCAGGTCAGGATGAAGGCTTCACACTTGGAACGGGAAGACCCAAGTTCTTTTTCTAGATCTTCCTTTCCGCAGGGCTGTAGGCTGGTTTCTTTCCCTGGCCCTGCTTTATTAATGGGTTCAAGAAATGAAGAATTATTCTCTCTACCGAGAGCACAGCTGTTGCTGATCACAAGTGTGAGGTGACCTGTACTGGAAGGGCACAGGGGGACAGGTATGGTGTGAACTCCGGCTCCCCAGAACTGGAAAATAAGGAAGGGAGGTAGGGGAGAAAGGGAGGGAGGGACGACAGAAGAAAGCAAGAGAAGGGAAGAGAGATTCATTCCAGAGAAAAGCAGAGCTTTGGACAAGGAGTAGCAGAGAGCTGTAATAGGGATGAGCCTGCAGCCTGCCAGTCTCACGCCTTCCCATACTCCATTTACTTCCTTAGAAATGAAGGAGGAAGGGAGCGATGTTAAGTATGAAATTAATCTGCAAATTCTTTTATACTCTGGTCTTTATTTTTGCCCCTTCAGAGCAGGTGTTCAGTGTCTGCTTCCTCTTTGACCATCTGCAGAGACATCTGCTAATATACTCTTCCTTGCAGTGTATCTGTGGGAAATGCTATTTCTCTGTTTCTCCACTATAGAATAACTTAGAGACTACTTGGGTGTATGAACATGTGCTGAGTCATTTCTGTAGCAAGGATCTCTGCCGTGTGGGATTGCTGCGGGGATTGAATACATGCGCAGTGCGGAGAAGTGTTTGTAAGGCACAGTCCGCAGACTCAGAAGTTAGCCATTCATGCTCTGATGAAATGAATGACAGAACAAAGGAAGAGCAGAAAGAGAGAGCTATAAAGACAGGACTAAGAAGAAGAGAAAAAAATTTGAAGGAGGAAGGGAAGACAGGAAAAGAGGAGGGAGAAAAAGAAAGGAAAAGGAGAAGACCTTTGGAGCTGGCAGAGGTTTGGAGAACCCTGGGGTGAGCTGGTTCAGCTGAGGCCACGTGTCAGGACCGCTCGAAGGCTAAGTGAATCCACTGACAGCGCCAGCCCGGGATGGAACCAGTGGGCCTGGGGATGACGCCTGGGCCCTGTGGATCCAAGTTCCCAAGCAATTCACTCCTGAGGTGTGGCCCAGGGTGAAGCCACCTGACTCCTTCCCAAGTCTCCAGAGTTAGAGGGGAGACTGAGGCTCAGGACGGCACAGGTGCCTGTTCAATGCCAAGTGAGGTTGGAGGCATAGCCCTGCTGCCAGCCTCCCTCCTTGTCTCCTCGTTGCACCTGACTCTTGGCACAGGGGTCCTGTCCTAACCTAACGGTCAGCAGATCCCATGTCACATCCTCAGTCCCAAGGAGACCCTCAGACACGATGCTCTGTGCACGGTGAGGTGCCCCAGGGGGCAGGCGCCAGGAAGACGGCTGCTGTCCCAGTGCCTGGCCTTTCCCCCGGGAAACCTGACCAGAAGAGAATGAAAATTACGTGCTCAGTAAATTTTGATTTACTGATGAAGTCACAGCGAAAATAAACTGTGGTTTAAATCTGTGCAGGACGGTGTTAATTGTGGAATCCAGGCAGGGGACCTACAGCTGTTTGATGTTCTGTAGGTCTGAAGGCTTTTTTCCTAATAGAATGTTCGAGGGTTGTAAAAATAATAGTTGAAGAAGCTTTAAAAATGAGTGCAAGCCTTAGGGCATCAGCGTCTCTCCCTTGCCACCTGGAAACTCTGGAAGCTCCTGCCTCAGTTTCCCAATATAGGCATTGGGCCAGCCTTACTGCCTCCTTGGTGGAGTCGGTGGAGGGACAGAGGGCCTTCCCAGGACTCACAGAGGCTCTGGACAGGAAGGGACGGCCGCCACCCTCTCTGGCCAGGGTCGCTTTGGACAACGAGAGTGACAGCTTCTGGGTAGGACCTTTAAAGTCTGCTCAAGGTTGGGTCACGCATTTGGGGCCCTATCACCAAGTCTCCTCTGGTTTCCTTTTGACTTCTTAGTTGATCCGGATAACCATGAGCAGAACCTGAGGCACTGGAGGTCAATCTAGTCTCGGTGGTAAACTACGGAATGCAGTGCGACCTCCTCCAAAACAGGGTTCTGATAATTGCTAACAATCAGCCTTGAGGAGGGAGGATAAAGAAAACTGATTTCCAGCATCCGTCCGTCCCAGGGGTGTCATTGCACCCACAGTCAGAGGTGACATCACAGGCTGCAGAGTTGGGTGAGGTGCTCCCCTCGGCCACTGGCAGATCCGCAGATGCATCAGAGGTGCTGGTAGGAGTCTCCATGGCATAGGGAAGGGAGCTCGCACCCTGAGGCAGCTTGACACAAACAGCGCCTCCTCGAGGGACTGCCGTGCAGGAGAGACACACAGCTCAAGGTCTTTGGGCCAGGGCATTCAGGTCTGGCTTCCCTGTGCCCGGCCCCTCCTCAGTACAAATTCCTGTGAAATCCCCCGCCCGCTTGTTATGCTTGAGAAACCCCCGCAGAAGGGCTGCGGCTGACATGCTGTCGTCTCTCTGCACTGGGGACTGTGACAAGTGAAAAGGTCGTGCCTCCCTACATTAGCACTGCAGAGAAGCTGGGATAAGGGCTCCTTTTTCGAAAAAAATCTTTCCAACCATTCTTTAGAGGGCTGAAAATACCTGCTCAGGACAGGGAACACGGGCCAGGCAGAGCCGCTTAGACTGCGTTCATCTGCTGGAATCACGAGCCTGTGTTCCTGTCGCACTCATCCCAGGGCAAAGTGAGCAAAGATGAGGTCGCATCTACAGACTGAGAGGGAGAAATCAAACCAGGGCCCAGGCAGCCCAGGGATTTCTCCCAGAGAGCACACAGGAAAGCATGTGCCTGATTGTTCTTCAAGAAAGGCAAGAGGAGAAAACAAACAGCTCACCGGAGCAATAAATACCGCACTTTTGGAGATCAGTTCTGCCACTGTCTGTTTGAAGCACTAGGAAATTGCACTTGGGGAACGGCAGCCCTCAGGATGCACTGGTGCCCCCAGAGCAGCTCCACAGGGGGCAGAAACCTTTTATTCTAATTATCCGACTCACACTGGAATCCAGAGAAGACAAGCATTGAAACGCCTTGTGCATGGGAAGTAAGCGCACCTTCTATGAGCTCAGAGGAAATTTGTATTTTCTATGTCCTTCTACTTTACAGAGTTTGTTTCCTTTCCACAAACACAGGAGAGCCCGCCCTGGACTAGCCTCGAGATGCCCAGGACTCTGCGAGGCATTAAGCTTGGATCAATTTCTAGGACACAGTTTTGCAACTAGAGTTTCTGCCCAGCGAGGGATGTTACTGGAGCCAGGGTTCTGACCACGAGTTGCTGGCAAAGCTAACTTACATGTGGCAGTCCCAGGTTCTGATCCCAGCTGCCTGGAGATGTGAGTTCTGTTCTTCTTCTTGAGCCATCAACAGTTTTGCAGTCGAGCTCTTTTGCAGCTCTGGAGTCTCCAGTAACCATGGTTTAGGCCTTAAGAGGGAAAACCACCTTGATTAGTGGATCTGAGCGCTGACAGAGGCAGGAGAGCAGCCGCTCGGCATCTCTGGGGCACACTGGCTGCACAGCAAGCTGAGGTCCATGCAGCCAGGGGGCACCCTGCAGGAAAGACAAGTGGCAGCTCAGCCACTGAAAGGTGGACCCGGGTCTGCTCCTCCAGGTCCTCTGTCGTGAGGGTGAAGGGCAACGCACCTGTCCCCTCACCATGGACTCTTCATTTTCACAGCTCCTCTCACTTCCTGTTGTACCCTTAATCTTCTTATCTAGAGAACGCAAGATGCTGGGCATTGCCACTGGGTAAAACAGTGCAGCAATTTCTCAAACTGTTAAACACAGGACTGCTGTACAATGCAGTAAATCTGCTAGGAATGTACCCAGGAGAAATGAAAGCATACATGACACAGCACCTGTGTGAATGTTCACAGCAGCATCACTCACACCAGGCAGAGGAGGTACTCTGGATGTGCACAGTGGTAAGCAGGCAGAATACAGGGCATCCACGCAGTAGAATATTGTTAGGCAATGAAAAGGCGAAGAGTGTTGATATACAGTATAATGCGGCTGAACCTTCGGATCATTCTGCTTTGTGAAAAAAGCCCAGAAAGTTAGACAAAAAGCATAAATATAATCTCATTGCTATGAAATGCCTAGAAAAACCAATATAATGTAGGTTGCTGAATGCCTGGAAATTGGGGTAGAAAAGGGAAGTGGGTCGAAAAGAGCCAAAGGAATCTTTTTGGGGTAATGTATACTCTGTAAATGCACTGATGATTGCACAACTCTACATGGTGGTTCTGCAGTGGGTTGGGGGAGAATGAGAATGCAAATATACTCAGGTTGAGGAGCACCCGTAAAATTCCTGTTCCTCTGAAAGCTCGAACCATGGCCATATGTGGAACAGGATTGCTACAGCTGTCATTAGTCAAGATGCTAACGTACCACATGAAGGCCTGTCCTCCTCATCGTCAACTATAACTACAAAGACTCCATTTACACATAAATTGTATTCCAAGGATCAGGAGAAACACAAGTCTTTTTGCAGGATGCAATGTGAGCTTGACCTTAGAAATAAGGGAAGTTCTTTCTTCCTGTGATTGAGGAAATGGGGCAAAAAGTAGGTAAAAATACAGATTTTCTTTGGTTATTTTTCAAATCTTCCTGGTCTGTATGGAAACCTCTCCTTCCTTTCCCACTCTTTTAAAATATCTTTTAAAAACCTGTGCTTAGTTATTTCAGGAGTGACCACAGCACCACCCGTAGTCCTTGAGGGGCGGACTGTTCCCTCCCACCCCTGGTGGTTTGCAGTTTTGCTTTGTGAGCTGAAGTTCAGCAGAGTTTTACGGGAGAATCTGGTGGGGGGCGGTGCTGGGGGAAGGCACGCTCCTCCTGAGTGCCTTGTTTGCTTTTGCTAAGTTCCTCAGGCCCATTACCAATTCAGAGTCTCTTCTGTGTTGATTCTTTTTCATGAATCTCAGAGTAAGCCTATATCAAGCCAGGCTGGTTACAAATTCTCGGGGGAGACATTTTCTTCTCCATCCGTAACACAAGCCGAGACAATTTGCTTCTCCTTTGCCATTTGTGTTTTTTCATTTTTATTTTATCTCACATTTGATTGTCTATGGCCTTGCTCTCAAAAAAGAGTCCTCCAAGGAGGAGCTTGGGTGTGGACGTTTAACCTTCCATCCCAGGCCTCTCAGGCAATCAGTGACCGCTTCACCTGTCTAGCTTTCCAACATCCACTTCCGGTTCTGGCCTCTGTGTTTTCTTACTGTTTTGTAAACTTGGAGTGCAGTCAGGAAGATGTGTACTACTCGTAGTCCAGAATTTCTAGGTAGTTCGTGGCGTAGGGGTGTGGTCTCCTGTCATCCATGACAGAAGTCTACGGAAAAACTATGGGTGAAGAAAGGGAGCTGGAGGAGCCTCACAACGAAAGGTTTCCATTTCCTCAGGAAGTCGGGGGTGGGCTTCTCTGCGAGGTGTGACTGGAGGAAGGGTAGGCTTGGGTCTCCGGGACACTGATAAAGATCTGCGAGGTGTGTAACATCTGTGAGAGGTGAGAATGGCAAGCAGTCCCTGCAGAACTGAGTAACAACAATCAGGACTCCACCTAAAGTGACTAAGAGTGGAGGTTTCCATGGTCGAAGACCTGGGTGGTTCCTTCCATAAGAAGGACTGTAATTTTTCATGCTAAATCTCCTTTCCAGACTAATCAGCAAGGAAAATCACTTTCCATGTATTCTCAGGGCCACAGGCCGTGGGCCATGGCCCTGGGCCATGTCTGCCCTCCGTCAAACTGGAGGAGAACATCACCCCAATGCGTACAAAACCCTTGGCAGATCCCCCCGGGGGCTCATTTAGTCCTGTTTGTGCCTTGGCCACTTTGCCTTTATGTTCTTCATGACTCTTGCTCAGCAGCTTCCTAAGGAAACTTTATTGCAAGGAAATCTGTCCCTAAACATGATTCAGCTGAGTGTTCGGATCACAGACCCCACTTGCTGAACGAGTTGCGATCCCTGTGGTTTTCCAGTTCCTGCCATGATAACGTCCTACCCGAACACGACGCTGGCCACTCAGGGCCAGAAGAAGGAAATGAGCTGCACGGCCCACGGGGAGAAGCCCATCATCGTCCGCTGGGAGAAGGAGGACAGGATCATCAACCCCGAGATGGCCCGTTACCTCGTATCCACCAAGGAAGTGGGGGAGGAGGTGATTTCTACGCTGCAGGTAAATGCATGACTGAACAGAATTGGACTTTATTGGAAGGCCGAGTTTGAGTTTGTCCTTTCAAACTCAGAGGGTGCATGAAGGCGATACATTGCAAATAATCTGCTGGAATGCATTCGTGAGGCACCAATTACCTCCTGCTTTATGCAACAAAAATTACAGAGTAGCCTTCAAAAGTAGAACTTTATTGTAAGTGTTACTGAGGGTAAAATTATTAGGAACGTGGCAGGGAGCCCAGCTATAATTAAAAATACTAAAAGTAGGGTTCTTTTAATGGCAGTTAATCCTGGAGCAAAGAAAGTTTTTGCTATGCATGTTTTAACTTTCTACAAAAAAAAAATTGAGCCGGGCATGATGGCCCACACCTATAATCGCAGCTCTCCAGCAGGCTGAGGCAGGAGAGTAACAGGAGCCTGCCTTGAGCAACTTAGCAACTTACTCAGACCTTGTCTGGAAATATTATAAAAGGGCTGTGAATGTAACTCAGTGTGAAGGCCCTGGGTTCAATCCTTAGCACTGCTTTGGATGGGCCTTAGGACAGAACCTATTAAAAGAAAAATTATTTTTCCTTGGCAAAGTATGAGGTGAAAAATTCTGTCAGTATTACAGGAATCACAGAAGCTGGGATGAAATGTTGAATTCTTATTAGGTTAGCACAGCTGGTGGTTAGATGAGCAATGGTTTCATTATGGGGGGAGGGGCGTGCTGCATCACACACATGGAAAACCCTAGAAGGCCTGCGCACGGAGCCCTGGTAACCGCTCCACCCTGAGGCCCCGGGCTTGGAGAAGAACTCACCCTGACTCGGGCTGTGCTGGCCCAACCCCTGACTGCAGTGCAGCTCCTCAGTGTCTGCAGAGCACTGTCCTCCCAAATGCCCAAATCCACACGTGCTGAAGTCCGTATAAAACGTCACAGGGTTCTCCTGGAGCCCACGCACACCCTTGTGTATGCTGTGAACCGTCCTTAGATCACAAACAACACCCAGTACAACATGAACACTCGCATTCAGGGAATCGGGGCAAGGAAAGCTGTGTCCGTCCAGAGCACATGCAGCTCCTCCTGAGTGTTTAACCGCAGCTGTTCTCTTCAGATGGTGGGGAAGCCCTGGCTACCCAGGGCCGCCTGTCTTTTTAGATCTGCTTCTCAGGGCATGCTTGCTTTGGAGGCCCTAAAGATTTGCCATCAGGAACAAGACAGGAAGAGAGATGTAAATGTGGGCTAAATATTGACCTGACCACCACACCTCACATAATTTACACATCCAACTTACCACGCTCAGGGCTGGCATGGCCGATGTGCATCAAACCTACCCAGCTGCATGTCACAGCCACACAGATGAGATTTTCAGGGGTATGTGTGTCAGCGTGAGTGGGCATGGTGAGTGTGTCCGAGTCTGTGCATGGGGTTGGGGTGGGAAGCGTCTCAAGGCCCAAAGCCGTTCCCTTTGATCTCCAGCTCCCTGCTCCCGAATCAGGTAGATTTCTTTCTGCTTCCTTCCTAGATCTTGCCCACTGTGAGAGAAGATTCTGGATTCTTCTCCTGCCATGCTATCAATTCCTATGGGGAGGACCGTGGGATAATCCAGCTCACTGTGCAAGGTAGGAAGGAGACAGCAGGCCATTTCAGGACAGGGACAGGGTGCCCCGTCCCAGGCACCCCGAGGCCCCTGCCTGCTGGGGACACTGCCACCTCCTGCTGGCAATGCCACACAGATGCCAGAAGTCAGTGCTCCGGTAGCATCTTGAGAGCCCCCCACTTTGGTGTTAGGGTGCAGCTGGGAAACAGGGAACAGAGTCCTTCTGGGCAGCCTGGCAAGCAAGAAGGGAAGTGACAGGATGCAGTGACAAGCCCAGGGCTGCCCTTCATTCGTGTTAGGAGTCCATGTATTACACAACTAAAAGGAAAGGGAAAGTTCACGTCTGGGACCAAAATATGCTCAGAGCTAGAGACCCAAACCCGACCTGGGCCGTGCCACTGAAATCCCCAGGTTGGGCCCTGCCCCCCAAGCGCTGTGAAAGCCAGAAGTCTCCAGAAAGTGGAATCGCCCCTCCCTAGATGGGCTTGGAAGAAAACGAGTGCTTGCAGTGAAGCTGTGACTGTCATTGTGTGGTGCTGACAGATTGCCTGTGTGTCACACTCGTTCGGGCAGAGCGTTTACACCCAAACCCGGGCTGCACTAACCCCGAGTTTCTGTCACTGGCACAGAGCCCCCAGACCCTCCCGAGATCGAGATCAAAGACGTGAAGGCGCGCACAATCACACTCAGGTGGACCATGGGCTTCGACGGGAACAGCCCCATCACCGGCTACGACATTGAATGCAAAAACAAATCAGGTAAGTCCTTTATTGCCTCCAGCTTTGTTTCTGCTTCACAAAGCGCATTCTTCTCTCTCCTTTCCTTTGCCTTGTTATCCATGAGAACACTACCCCCGGAGTCACGAAGCTCAGGGTCGCTTTCTCCGCACAAAGGAGCCCAGGTTTCCTTCGTGCCTGGCTCAGCTCCGCCCCTTTCCCAGCCAGCCACCCGGACCTCAGCCTGGCTTCCCAGTCGCCGCAGGTCCGTCCTGTCCCCCTTGGGCCCCTGGGCAGCTGCTGGCAGAACCAAGCCCTCGTGTGACCTTGTCCACCCTGCCGCACCCCTGTCCCCTCTCACTTCTGTGGCTGAGTGGCCGTCCTGGGTCCTGAGTTCTGCACATGGATTTAGAGGATCTGGGCTGAGGGTCTGCAGATGAGTCCTGCAGGGGTTTTTTACAGGGCCAGCGGCTACTGCAGGGACCTCCTGCAGTTGCCACCAGTCAGGGCAGGAGCACTTGTCAGCTGTGGGCACCAGTGCCGCTGTGCCCGCTGGATGTCTGTCTTCCAGAAACCATACCAAGGCCAGTGTGGACTTTATGAGCCATCTGGCATGGGTAGAATACCAGCTGTGACCCACCCCCCCCAGTCAAAAGTATCAGTGTGTCTTCTAGAAGCTAGGAGGAAAGGGAGCCCTTTCTCCACACGAAGGGTTAACACCATTCTCAGAGGCCACAGCAGCAGCCTTATTTTTTGCTTTCTGAGCACCGGCTGTTACTTGAGATTACCCTGTCACGACCAATTTGGTGTCTTCTGGGCTGAGCTGTAGGAATGAATCAAGCTCAAGGAGTCTGGACAAGAGCGGGTCCCAGAGGAGGTGTGTTTCATTAAGACACAGGCGAGGCGGGCCGGGAATGGGGTGGTGGGGCCCAGGGAGAGGTGAAGGCGGAGGCCTGGCCAGGAAGGAGTTTGGGAAAGCAGAGCAGGAGGCCAAAAGAAGATGCAGCCAATGGTGTGCACAGCACTTTGCAAAGAGAGCTGAGATGGCTGGGGTGGACCTGCATGCGGGAAGAGACCCTCGGGAAGGCAGCAGGACCCCAGGAGGCCCCGTCACTGGGATAAGCAGCAGAGCCAGCATCCAGGCTCACAGGGACAACCAAGACAGTGCTGACCCTGCAGGGCTTTCCAGAGCAAAGACAAACAGCCTCCAGACGGCAGGAGCACCCTGTCCTCCCCTCAGCAGGCACTGCATGCTCTGGGCAGCGGGGAGCACAGTCCCCAAGGAGGGCCCACAGGTGCTGGGCCTGCTGCTGGCCTGAGTTCCCCAGAGCACCTCTGTCCCCCAGCCCCAGCTGTCCTATGCTCAGAGGGCTGCTTCTCTTGTTAGTCCTGGCAGGTGCCATACCCTAGGATCCCATGTGTACCTCTGTGGACACTGATTCGTGTATCCCCAGACATCAGCCCAGGTGCTATCAGCCCAGACGCTTCCTGGGCCCCTGGGCTTATGTCTTAGCGACTTTTCTCATAGCTGAGACAAAATACCCAACACCCAAGGTTAAAGGGCGAAGGTTTATTTGGCTCACAGTTTGTGGAGGTTTCAGTCCATAATCAGACGGCTCCGAGGCAGGGTGGTGTGGCAGAGGGGCAACCGTTCCTGGTGGCAGAAGACAGCAAAAGCAGCAAGGGAGAGTGAGACAAGCCTCCTTCTACCCCTTGTATTGCATACAGGCTACTAGGGATCAGGGCGGTGCCAGTCCAATCAGTGGGCTGATCCAGTAATCGCCCACCTTTAATCCCAGCAATGCACCACCAGTCAATCACACACTCTAGATTCAGCCACCTCTGAAAAAACCCTATGAGAACACGAGGCTTTGGGGGACATCTAGACACGAGCCATAACAGCCTACCAGACCATTTCAGCTTCAGCCCAGTTTTTCAATACCTAACATGGTAAGCACTCAGTGACTGTGAATACTCTTTGAGAAGGGAATAAAGCATTTTACTCATTGCAGGCACACATGAGACGTCTAGTCAGAGGTTGCTTCCTTATTCCTCACTGTGCAAGCAAATGCCCGTGGAATCCTGCCCCCCTCACCGGCTTGCCCACCGTTTAAGAAATCTCAGTGCACACCCTCCACATACACACACCTTCCTGCAAGTCTGCCAAAGGCAAGGGCTCTTGAGCTTTTGTACCCTTGGGTCCCAGGCACCCAGCACAGTGTCCAGCATGAAAGAATGTGCGGGTTGAATTTACATGCAATTGAAATCTAAAAATTGCATTCAACAGCAACTGCTTTAAATGTAGCGATGATCAGGCCCCACGTACACAAGTAGAAAAGCTGCTGCCCGCTCTCTGGGCAAAGCCAGTGTCTCAGCCCTCGTTTCCACTCTGGGGGACTGGAGCAGTGTGTAGCTGAGATTTATGGAGCCCTGGAGCCGGGCACTGGAAGGGTCAGGGAAGAAGCGCAGGGGAGAAGGCCAGGGAACAGGAGGGCTGCACTCCATGGGTAAGGTCTGTGCCAGGGCCCCTCCAGGTTAGGAAGACCAGACGGAAGGAAGGAAGGAGCTATGCTGGTGTCAGGCCAGAAGGGGGTGTTGTTGGCCTCTTTGTGGGTTAGTTGTTTCCTTAGTAGGTTTGGCGGATATAAAAGTTGCTCCTTAATTTAAGGGAGGGCAGTGTATGGGCTGAGTGCATAGAAAACAGTGCCTTCGAATGACACCTTCAATGTCTTCTGTCAGGAAGCCTGCCCCACCCTACTACCCATCCTCTCTCCACCACAGCGTCCTCTGCACTGCTACACTTGAAGGGCTGAGGACTATTTGGTTAGCTTCTGTCCCTGCTGAGCAGTTGTCCCCAAGTGGCCGCTGAGGACAGGGAGTTTGACTGCCCAGCCCTGTGTCCTGCAGAGAACTTACACCCATGCTGGACTTCGGAACACAGTAGCTGAACTGCCAACGCTCTGCTCTTGTTTGAGGCGGCATTGCACTCACCCCCACCGGGACGCTTTCCTCTATTCCCTGTTAACTGGCTCCAGAAGCAAAGTACTAGCAGCAGATGACAGAGTTTTCTGCTCTTAGCATTGCCCAGCCTATGACAACCCCAAAGACAGGAAGCACGGTTCCACCTCCATCACCTGCAACTCTTACAGCTTTTCCCTGAGTGCAGCAAAGAGTCCTCCAGGTCCAGGGCCCTCTTCCTGCCCTAAGTCCTTTGGCCACATGACCACTCCCGGGACTCGGACACAGATGTGTCTCCTTGGGTTTCAATTTGCCAGGCAAACCTCCACTTCCCAAGTCGCTCTCTTGCCTCTCCTGTGACTGTCTCCTGATTCCAGGTGTCCCCTCCCAGCTCCTGGGCATGCAGCCTCCTCTCTGCTTCCTTCCTTCCTTCCTTCCCTTCTTTGGAGGCTCAGCCCAACTGTCTCCTCTCCCCATGTCGTAGGGATCTCTGATTATGCATCAGCTCCAGTGTCCTGGGATGTCACCCCTTGGGAGGAACTGCACGCTCCCTGTGCAACTGATGGCACCCCCCAGCCCTCTCCTCTCTGGGGCTTCTGTCCACCCTTCCCCCTGCACCCCTGAGCACTGTTGTCTCCAACTGAGGCAGCTTCAGTGGCCGGGCTTTCTCTGTGTGCCCGTGTCACCATGCAGGGCCTGGTCCCCCTTCCCTTTAAACTGCCTCAGAACTTCTGCTTGCCCATACTTGCTCCGGTCTGTGGCCTCTAGGAGCATCTCTTCAGGATGGCCCACACTCTGACCTTTGTCCTTGACAGCTGTGCCCTTGAGCCCAAGGTGTCTGACCTCCAAGCTGGGGCCCAGCCACTCTACCTGCACCTTTCCTCATCAGAAAGCCAAGCCAGGAACTTATAGAGGTTGTGCTAGAACCTTCTTGGGTAGTCAACAGAAACACTGACCTCCAGTCATCATTTGGTGTGGTCAGAGAACAGATGACTGTCTTCTGCTATAGGAAAAGGACTTTGAACGTGGGTCACTTGGGTGGGGTCAAATCCCAGCCCTGCTTCTTGCCCAGGACAGGGTGGGGCCTGAGTTCCTTGACTTCACACTGACGATAAAAATCCCTGTGTTGGCAGGATGTTGTGAGAATTGAGTCATATGTGATAGCCCTCCCAGCTGTCCGTCCAGCAGTGTGATCTGGGCTCCGTGGCCCACTAAGACCCATGGTCTGAAGGACCGTCGTCAGGCATCTCGGAAGTCAGCATCCCTGGATGTGAGGGTAGAATTGCACATTGAACTGCACGTGTAGCCAGGAAGGACGTAGCATAGTCAAAGAAACATCGGGAAGGTATGCCTCTAAACTCAGGAGTTCTCAGAAGCAAGTGGGACTAGGAGTGTTCGGAGAAGGCTTCAGAGAGGGAGGGAGAGGAGTGGCCTTGCTGTGGGGAGTCTGGCAGGTCTGCTGGCCCAGCAAGAGGGAGTTTGAGCAGGGAACTATTCTGGAGGCGTGGCCTGGGCCAGAGGAGCCTGCAGGGGTCGGTGCTGCGGCTGTCTGGACAGCAGGCTGCAGAGCGGGTCCTCTCCTGCCTCGGTCCAAAGGAGACTTAGGTGTGAGAGCAGGCGGTTGGCATGTAGTCCCGGCCTCTACCTCATGCAGGCACTTGCTTTGGTGAAGACACCCGGGCCTTCCACAGTCCGTGAGTCCTTGGAACTTTGGCAGTTCCTGCAAAGCCCTCACCCACCACGAGTGGCTTGCAGGAGGCCTCTTTGTGACACACAGGGCCAGGTTCCTCCTCCTAGGTATCCTGGGCATCTTCTCCTGAAGACCTTGCTTCTCTCTGTAGGACAGGCCCCTATTCACATGTCAATCCATTGGTGAAGATCTTATCCCGTGTTCTCCTCCTCGCGTATCATTCCATCTCTGGCCCACGTCTTCTCTTTCGGGTCTTGTTCCTCCACCTGCAGTCCTCTGGAGGACACTCGCAGGACACTCGCTGTCTCCCTGCAGTCTCCGTGTCAGTTCTGCTGTGCTCCCTGCCCCACAGAATGAGCACTCAGCAGAAGTCTTGAAGCCAGGGGCTGGGGATTTAGCTCAGCGGCAAAAGTGCCTGCCTGGCAAGCGCAAGGTCGAGAGTTCGGTTCCCGGTACCGGAGAAAAAGCCAAAAAAAAAAAAAAAAAAAAAGAAGTCTTGAAGCCACATGCTTTTTCTTCGAGTCTCTGAGAATCATATTCATCTCAGGACAGAGCCGCTCCCTAACTGTGCTCCTTGCTAGTGTGACAAGGGTGTGGCACTGTGCCCACACGTGGAGCGCCTCTGTTTGCATCCGTCAGCCAAGCACTGATCCCAGGCCCACTCTGGGTCAGGGGCTGTGCCAGGATAGCCACTAAGCACCAAGAATGACAAGGGCCGTTCTGTGTCCTTGTGGCCCGTGGGCTCCAGCAAGGACAGCAGCGTAGCCGCAGAGGACTTTCCTTCCTGTTGAGCATCCCAGGAGAGGTGCTGGGAAGGGGGAGCCCTGCAAGCCTCACATCCCCCACTGTCCCAAGGTTCCTGTCTCCCACCACACCCAACACCCGCTCATGGTCCCTGCCCCAGCCAGCAGCTGCCCAGACTGTCACACGAGAACCACTCACTGACATTCTTATCACTGGCAGAAGCCCCCCAAACACCATGCGGAGATGCCCAAAGCAGCTCCTCACACTGGGAAGGGGCTACTGCTCCAAATCAGCTCTGGTTGAAAAGTAACGTCTGGGTTAAGGCACTGTGTGATTTGCAAAAGTCAGAACTGAGGAATGTCTTTGGTTGGCAGAGGTCCTACTGGCGTTTGAACCTGGCTTGTAAGCTGATGTTTTACTGCACTCCATGTGGACTAGAAATAGTGTGGCTGAAGGTGTTGCTAGGCTTCACCTCTCTATGGGACTAAGGATTTTAGGAAGCAAAGAAACAGTGTCCACACACAGTGAGCTTCACAGCCGGTGCAGTGAGTGCTGAGCAGGCCCATGTGGTGCTCCAACAGCCTGTGCTCACAATGCGTGTGTTTCCGTGTCCTGGATTCCCTGACTCGCCCCTCCCTGAAACACTCACCGCAGCCCTGAGCTCCCACAGTCTGGACATTAACATGTGACTCCACGTCCCCTCTGCTACCCAGTCTGCCAGCAAATGGGGAACATTACACTGCAAATCAAAAAATCTCATTGAGTGTAACTTTTTTCCTTCTTTCCTTCTTTCTTTCTTTTTTAAAATTCCTACTTGTGAACTTTCAAAGGCAGAGGAAAAAAACTCACATCTCTATCTCTTCTTTTTTGAAAAACAAAACCCCAAAGACTCCTGGGATTCTGCTCAGAGAACCAAAGATGTTTCCCCTCAGCTGAACTCGGCCACCATCATTGATATCCACCCTTCCTCCACCTACAGCATCCGCATGTATGCCAAGAACCGGATCGGCAAGAGCGAGCCCAGCAACGAGCTCACCGTCACGGCGGACGAGGCCGGTACGTGGGGCCCAGAGCCTGCCGTGGGGGCTCAGTTGGTTCCATGTGTGCTGGGCAGACCTCTGCCCAGCCTGGGTGGGGTGTGCTGGTGCCTGCTCCTGTGCCCCATGCCCCACAAAGATGCCAGCATGCCCATCTTCCCATCCCAAGCACACTGCACTTAGGAAAGGGCTCAGCTCAAGTTCTAGTACCCAAGACCTCAGACAAAGACCTCTGAGGCTCACAGTCAGGCAAAACTCAGAGTCAGGCCCATTCCCTCTCCTTTGGGTGCACGGAAGCCGCCCTGGCAGGAGAACAGACACACACCCTTGCCCGCCACCGGGGAAGTCCCAGTGCGGTGAGGGAGCAGAGGGTGCTCTGTGCCCTGGTGCATGGATTCACTTCTAGACCAGCAACGTCAGTATTTTATAATATACTTTATTGGCTTTTTGCCAAACTAGAAGTGTTTTATATCTAATGTTGCAAATTTCAAAGGTAGAGATAAATATTTTGAAGGAGGCAAAACAGCTTCCATCATCCTCCTACCAAGAGCTAAGCTAGGGCCATGCTGACAGAACCTTTTCCACTGTCTTTGTAACACACTTGATGACACCGTGCGTGTCCACACATGTTCACCACACATGCGAGTATGGTGTACACAGCCCCCATACTTGGTCAGCCCTTGTTATGAGGTAGGGGGAGTTAACCAGAGGACGGAGCCATCAGGCACTGGCCAGTAGATGCTGACCCCAGAGCTACCTCCCAAAGGCAGGGAGGAAGACACTGCCCTTGGCCTCTGGGAAGGGCACCAGAGCCAACACCTGGCTCGTTCCTTTGAGGGGAGGGGTATCTGGCCCCTACATCTGTCATTTTCTCTCCTGCCAGCAATTCGAGGTCCTTAGCCATCCCCACTTCAGCTGGCTTGGACGCTCAGTCCCCATTTCTCCACCTCCAGGAGAGAGAAGTCACGTCCCCAGGTGGCTGAGGGTCACACCTGGAGCTTTGTCTCAGCCTTCTCCCATGCCTCCTTCTCTGCCACGCTCGTCAGTGAGCTCTGAGCAGCTGCCGAGCGTGTGTATCTCGCAAGTACTTTCCCACCATCCACATCTCCTGCCGTGTAGTCTGTAAATCAACGGTGTGAGCCGTGTCACTGCTTTGAGATTTTATTATTATAAAAGCCCCTGTAATGAACCTCCTATGGTATTTTTCCTATTACCATTCCCGAGACTATTTTCTTATGTTAAAGTCTAAGAATGCAGAATCCCTGGATCAAATCAAACGCATCACTTTTCATTCTTTGGCTATGTCAATATTCCCTTTGAGGAAATCAGTTTAAATGTGCAGTTCTCCCGGGGCTGTGGAGGTGTGCGGGTTTCTCGGTGCCGGAGGACATCTGTTCTTGGAAATTGCTTTCGAGGGCAGGTGACAGAATGCCTTTATGCGGAAGTATCGGGGCTCGGCAGTTTCTGACACTTGGGCGATCTCTGTGTGACTTCTCATCTGCAGAATACCCACAAACGATGCTTTCTCCTGCTTACATGCACATACCTAGTCATTGGAAAAAATTCCAAGCTCTAAACACACTGCATTTCTCAGAAATAAGTGAGAAAAGGGTGTCCATGTGTTCCTGCAAAAATAGGATCTTATTTAAATATTTATCTAAACATCCCGCTAACATCCTGGAGTTTCGTCAGGCTGGGTACTCAGGAGAATAAGCTCCCCGCCCTCAGCCCCAGAGGGGACCTATGGCTCCTTCCACCACCCCTGTCTGATCCTGCGCTGTCTCCGTGCGCACCTCAGGGCAACTGCACCGTGCTTCCCCACGGTTCCGAGGAGCGTGGCTGGGTGGATGCTGCTTCCTTTCCTCCTCTGCGGCCTCTGGCAGCTGCCGGTTGCCATGGCAGCTAGGAGGCCAGGTGAACAGCCCCGGGTACCCATGTGCAAGGCCCTTGCCTGGCATTTCTGCAGACGGATACCAAAGCCGACCCTCTGGCTACCCGCTGGCCTCTTGGATTTGAACTGGGGGCACACAAACTCTCTCCTTCAGTCCTGAGGCCCTCGGGGGATACGGAGGGCAGGAACAGGCTTGGTGAGGCGCAGCTGCAAAGCAGTGCTAGTCTCAGTGCTGGTGTGGAGTTGGCCGGACTGAGAGCAGGGAGCCACGTCCAGGTGCGACTCACAGGGCCCCAGGTGCAGCTGTCCGGGCCGATGCCCCCACCCCCTTAGACCCTGATGCAGCAGCTCTGTGCAGACACGGCCATGCTTCCCAAAGTCATGTCTAAGAGGTGCCTTCCCCACAAAGAAGTGGCCACCCCTCAGCAACGAGGACCTTGGGTGGAGGCTCTGGGGCTGTAGACTTCTCCCTGCTGCAGGGTTGTAGGGCCCTGCCTCCCTCCAGCCCCAAGGCTCCTCCCCACAGCCACAGCATGGAATCTTGGGGTATCAGTGCTGGGGTAACCCACAAGTCTGCTCTGACGTGCAGCTGTGCCCTCCCTCCCGTCTCTGAGAGGCAGAAAACTGCAGACCTCTGGTCACATCTCAGCTGCAGGGCCAAAGGTTGCTTTTAGATTTTAAAATGGAGAACACAGCACAGAGGCTGCCCATGGCTCCAAAGAGTCTGGAATACTGGCCATGTGGCCCTGCACGGGGACAATGTGCAGGTCTCTGGTTTAGGTCTTGCCACCGTGGAAATCTGAGGTTTGGATCTGCAGTGTGAAGCTTTCAGAAGCAGAAGTCACTGCCATTTACACATATCCCAACACCACGAGTCTACTTTTTATAGGAAAGTGCATAAATATATTATCACGCCACTTAAATACACTGGGCTACAGACAGCAGCCGGGTAACAAAGATCACACCATTTAGCACTTTCTTCTTGATGCCCCGAGCAACCCTGAGCCCTCGGAAAGGAGAAGTGGAGGGAGTAAGTGGAAGCAGTGTCAGGTAAGAGCTCGGCTCTTAATGGACCAAAGTGTGTTGGATTTCCTAGTCTGGCGGACACCGATCAGCAGGTCAGAGCTGCAGCTGATCCTCTCCAAAGACCAAGCTCCCCATTAGCATCTGCCCTCAGGCGGCCAAGGGTCACCTCGCCTTGTGACCGAGTGGGGGGCCGATCCTTCGTCATGTCTTTTGTGAATCTGTACACTAAGTGCGAGAGTTCAAGTAAGCATGAGTCAATTGAAATACCATTGAATTTCCACAAGCCACCGCAGGATGGAAGGTTTGAATTCCAGAAAGGTCCCGGCACAATGGGTTTCCAATGGCGGGCACAGAGTTAGGGCTCCATGGGAACCAGGGGTACCCTGTACCCCAAGGAACCTTCAGCAAGATGCCTCTGCAGTTGTCTACCTTTCTTTATTTGTTTTCGAGAAACTTTGGAAATCAAACCTGAAGAAATAATCAGCCTCTTTGTTCTTCTTATATACCATGAGTATACTGCTGGATCTCCTGGATTGTTCTGGAATGTTCTAGAATGTTCTTCCCCCTTCTCCCACATGACTTTCAAGGCTTTGCTCAAATATCTTCATCCCAATAAATCCTATCCCAAACACATTATTAAAATTCCACCTATGGCCCATTCTGGCCTATTTACCCCCCTCTGTCCCTGAACACTCTTTTTTAAAAAATAGCATGTGTCACATTCCAAAATACCATGCAAGCCTTGGGTTGACCTCATCTGTGGTCTATTTCTGGTCCCCCCTCCCACATGGACAGGAAGTCATCTGCTTTGTTCACTGCTGGCACCTGGGACTTTTTTTGGCATATAGTAGGTACTAAATAAATACAGTTTAAAGGAAGGCATTGCTTATTCATAAGCAGTGATTAGAGGCACCCAGCCTCTCCTCACCAGGGGATCAGCTGTTTTGTTTGGCTTCTTACTGAACTCTGTCTTGGCCCTGTTTGCTTCTCACCCACCGACGTTTAGCAGAGATGAACATAATGTGATCCCTCAGAGGCCCCTTGGTCCTATTTTATGATTTTTAAACTACTTTTGCACCCCCAATCCTTTCCTTATTAGGACCCAGCACATAGTAGGCTTCCAGTCAGTTGCTCAGCAGGAAACCAGGGTTAGATTTAGGAGTGATTTCTGCCAGGGTGGCTCAGGCCAGTTCAATAAATGGTCGGCCCAAGCACTGTGTCTGTGGCCAGGGAGAGAACATCGTGGGAGCAGAGTGAAGGGCCGGGACTCACACTTTGTCCTTCCAGTGGGACGGGGGCCGGGAGCAGCAGGAGGCTCATAGGTGGTGCAGGGAGGATGCAGACCAGCTGCTGGCCCTCGATGGACCAGGAGAGAAATGTGATCGGAGACCCGGGATGCGGGAATTAGAGGAGCTGCCGCTACTGTGTTTTCAGCCAAACAGAACTAATAAGCGCTGCCTTGTCTTTCTAAAAATATTAGAAATGTTAAATATAGTCCACTGTTACTATTTTATGCACTGGTCAGTTCTGACATCTGCAGAAATGCAGAGATTATTTACTCTGGAAAAATCCATTCGTAATTAATTTTTACCTCTAGAATTCTCCTCCTCCAAGAGAAAGCTAGGGATCCCTCTAACCTAAAAACCAAGAAGAAAAATAAAACCCCTACACTTTCTTTATATATATCTATCTATATCTATATAGATATAGATAGATATATATTACAGCTTCAGTTTGGGAGCACATATTAAATTCTTAAATGTCAAATGTCAACACGATTTTCAAGTTTAGTTTATATACAGAAATACCTAGTGATTGACCCTCAACATTTTAACATTGGGAATTTAGTCCACCTTGGGCTGTCATTTTATAGACATCATCTACAATGAAACAAGAACCCACGAAAAATATCACCACTCAGGATCTGTGCATAAATTCTGAAAAGACACTAATTCTTCTTATAATTTAGAAAGGGTTTTCATGATGTTGTAGGACTTGTGGCAGAAAATTTAGTGCTCTTTGCAAAAAGCCTTTCTAGTCCTATTGGACATAGCCCCAAGATGTGTATATAGATCATTATCATGACTATGATAATGATAATTTTAGAGGGATTTATTTGGATGTGTCTATGAATTTATTTTTCAATGGCAGAGAGATCCAAATGAAAAAGTAGACCCATGAATGAGTTATTAACAAGCCACTGAAGTACTGGTGGGCTCAGAAATCAGGGAGTTATGACCAGAAAATAGTAAGTTCTGTCCTGGACAAGCGGCCATTTCCCTGCTCCTGCAGCAGGGACCTCCATAAAGTACCAGACTGAACGCCAGTGCAGATTGCCCTGTCGAAATTAGTTTGCTAAACTTTTCCTAAACTTTTCCCCGGTTCACAATCGTATCCTGTACTTAACGTTTCTGCCTGAATCCAGGGCATCTTTGTCAACATCACATGAATTTCTCATTTTCGTTATGAGTATGTCTCAATAATAAAGGCTGTGACGACTGTCCTCCCTCTTCCTGAGATGCCCACGCTGAAGGTCACAGCTGGACACATGCAAAGACTCAAAGTGCCCCTGAGGTCGCCTCCTATTCCTAACAGCTTGGCTTTCCCTGTTCAACTCAGAAGAACGCAGTTACATAGAAATGGCCCAGCATCGGTGTCCCCCTCAGGTCGTTTTCCAAGAATGGTGTCCGTGGAGGAGCCATATGGTTCTTGGTGATCACAGAGTATGAATCTGAGCAGAAAACCATTCCACGGGGGACGGGTACCAGCTCTCACAGAGAGGCCCTGCATCACAGGCTGGGCCCCGGAGTGGAGAGAGGCGGGGAGCCCTGACGGTCGTTACCCATTAGCTGCGCACCTGCCTCACTGGTCACCGTTCTGGAAATTAACTTCAGTGCCGACACAGCCTTTGCCCTTTGGGGGTTAATCAGTCCAAGAGGCTGTGGTACCCCAAATATCTAGCCACACTGCAGCTGACTGCAGAGAGAGGTGCACGCTCAATTTCGGGAGCCGCAGGTTGCGTTACCCCTAAGGAAGGCCGGGCTCTGAGGGCACATAGCTTAGAGTCCGCTGGGGGACAAAGCTGACAAGGTGACTGTGAATGTCACCTTGCACAGCACTCCAGGGTCACATCCCATCCAGCTGGCCCTGTTTACCTGCACTGTGTCCAGGTGTCCCAATGCCCAGGACCACACAGGTCACCTCCTCTTCCCTCCCCACAGACGGGGCTTCCACTACAGGGCACATGACTCCCTTTCTCCACGCCTCCTGTGTACATGAAAGCCCACAGCTCATCCTTCCTGTTCTCTTCTGAGCCTTGCTCTGGCCCTCCTCGTGGCCGGCACTTGGTGCCCCCAGCTCCTGCATCTGCTGATCTCTTCACCTGCTTCTGATTAAAACTATGAAAAGCTCTGCATCTGCAGTCAGCACACACAGGCCTTTTCCTCTGGACATCATGCTCTAAACAGTGAGAGTAACAGCCATCTGCCCTGCGGCGACAGTGTATGGGTCATCTGAGGCATCCGGAGGTTTGTTAAAGTCTAGGCAAGGATGTGCAGGTCTCTGCCGCTGTCTACGAGACACTTGTGCATCAAGGATTTGGGCCTCCACGGGGCTTGGAGCCAGCCCTCCGAGAATCCTGGGGTGGCCTGTGTCTTCTCGAGGAAGGGGCCAATCAGGTTTCAACTTGCTTCCTTCACACAGGAAGTCACCCAAGGCCCCCCAGCTGGCTGTCCCTCCTTCCCCAGCCTCTGATCCTGCAAGTTCACCTCTTCCTTCTCCTGTTTAACCTCCCCTTTCTTCCCCTTGCTTAGCTGCATTTGCTGAGAACATTATTTTTATAACAACCCAATGATGTAAATTGTGTTCCACCATCATAAACAGAAGGAAACTGAGTCATTACCTGCAAACAATGACACAGCTAATCAGCGGCGAACCCAGAATGTGACCCTAGGCAGGAGATCTAAATGTTCCTGAGCTAGATACTACGTCATGATACTGCTCAAAATTTCTTTTTTGTTTGGAAAAAAAAAATAAACCCCCTTCCTAGGGCTCCCTGTCCTCCTAGCCATCCCCCAGTCTGCCCTTTCTCTTGAAGGTCTGGACCTTGCCTTCACTTCCGGTCTTCAAGGTCACTTCATACCCTGCCCCTCTCCGCTATGCCACTCAGCCTTCTGTGCTGGCGCCTCCGAGTCCACAGGAACGGCTCCTGTGCAGTTGGCAGTGACCTCAACACTGTCGTTAATCCAGAAGAGCTCCCCCCGGCTCGCCTGTGACTGTGGCTGTCACTGCTCAGGAGACCCCTGCTGCACGTTGCCCTGGGTGCCACCTCCTCTCGGATTGTGTGCACTCGTCCGGCAGAGATGCTTTCCGTCTCTCAGTTCTACACCGTGCACCCTGTGCGCTGCATTTCTAGTATGAGCAGAGAACGCTAACCAGAATGCAGCCGGGACTGTCTCTCAGGGACCCTGACTTACAGCATCACCCTGGGGGTAGTTGGTGTGAGAGGAAGACTCTGTTTTCCTCTGTAGCTCTGCTTTCTCTGTGAGCTCCTGGCTCACAGGAGCTATTAAATGACAGTGTGGACAGCTATGGTGACCAAAAAGACCCAGAGTCGGAGGAATCCCGGCCCCCAGTAGCTCCGAGAACTTTGGGGAGGCCAAAACCACATCACAAACAAAGCCTCCCAGAACAAGCGAAGGGTCGTGCGCACGGCATAGAGAATTGCAGAGCATGCATTTTGTCTCAGTGTCCCACTTTGCCCCCTAGCTTGCTCAGCCTTGCGTTGCTGAATGGGCTGGTGGGGGCGTGTGGGGAGGGATCCAGTGGCGGGACACAGGGGCTCTGCACCGGGGTCTGTCCTCAGCGCTGGCCGCTGCCTCTCCCTGCCTGCGTCTGTTGTGCGGCTTGCCCTGGAACCCCTGTCTAACCTGTCTGTGGGTTTTTGGTCCTTACAGCTCCTGATGGCCCACCTCAGGAAGTCCACCTGGAGCCCATATCATCCCAGAGCATCAGGGTCACCTGGAAGGTAAACGACAGCATGTGCACCCCCACCACCTTCCGTGGGTGTGGGGCTTTCACCCTCCTGTTAAGTGCTGCAGTGCCAGGACATTAGCATTTTGTGAAAGCTTTGCTCTGTCGAAATTAGTTTGCTAAACTTTTCCTAAATTTCAGTACACTTGTGTATTCCTTGACACCCAGAATTCACTGTGGGAAGTGTGTCTTTAGGTGATACTGTCTTTGTGTGAACATCAGAGAGCATAATTACTCAAACTAAGATGGCCCTGGAGTCACCAGGCGAAATCACCATGGCCAGTGCTGTCCATCATTGACCAAAACATGCTGATGAGACCGCCGAGCACACTTGTGTCCCCATTTAAACTCTTCACACCAGATTCTGCACCTCCAGATAATGACGCTGCTGATTATTAGAGTGGCACCTCAGTTCACAAACTCAATTCTCTCCACAAATTCTGCTCACGAACTGAACTGGACAAGAACCAAATCAAATTTCCCCATGAGGCCCACACAGAACCTCACCACTGAACGTGATTTGTTCTTCGCTTATCTCGGTTTGTGACTAGAATTGCAGAAAGAATCAAGTTCGTGAACCAAGGTGCCACTGTGTTATTATTACTATTATTATTATTATTTGAATTTGGTCGGGGTCCTCAGAACCAGTCTCCACGCTGATATCCCTGACTGTGCTCTCTGACTTAACCCAAAGAGAATCTTTTCCCTGACCATGTCTCTCAAGTGGCAAGGCGCAGTGCAAGAGCCTGTCCCCTGAGCTGGGCCCTAGCCAGCCGTGTCCTGCACAAAGCCCTGTGCTTCCTCCCCAGCCCACGAGCTGGGTCCCCAGGCCGTGACCCCAGGTCACAGGAAGCTCCACACAAGTTATGGTCGCTGTGGAAGAACACTGAGCTCCTGGCTGTGGAGGAATCCTGAGCCGGGCAGACACGACTTCTGGAAGCGGTGCTGCCCTGGGTTCTGGGGCCTGCGCCTCCCAGGCCAGCGCTGCGGGGCAGCTACTGCTGAGGATACCTTGGGGCTCGGCGGTGTCCATGGCCCAAGTCTGCTCCACCCGGACCAGGAGAGCGGCTCCTCCTGAGGCCACGCCTCCCGCAGCCTTGGGTCTGTCTCACTGGCGTGGCCTGTTGCTCCTCCTTCTCCTCTCCCTCTTGTCACCCAGAGAAGAAAGCGGCCGCAGACCCGGTGAACCACACCTGCTACGACCAACCGCAAACCTCGGCCTCGGCAGGGCTGCGTGTGCACCGTGCACGCCTGTGAGTGCGAGTATGCTCCTGCTGGGGCGGGCTCTTTCACCTGCTGGCCAGCGTCTGTCATAAAATCAGTGTCACGCTTGGGGACCCTGGAGCAGGAACGCGGTTCCTGAGTCCATCCGGCCCTCTGCGCTGCGCTCACTGGGAGCAGAAGGCGCGGAGAGGCCAGGACCCAGGCGCATCCCGGCCCCAGGGCGAGCACGACGCAGAGCGCGGACTCCGCAGTCCCGAGTCACAGACCGTGCCGTCTCTCCCGCCTGCTCCGCACATTCTCTTGCATTTTGCTGCTGATAAAGACCAAGGATCACCGTGGCCTCGAGAGCGTTTTGGGTCCCGCACGATGGAGGCGTCTTACGCAGAGCGCACAGCTCAGAGGGAAAGCGGAGAGCGTCCGAGGCGCCCGGAGGCACCTGCCCATAGGAAGCAGCACGCGGCAGCCGCTGCAGGACGCTTTTTGTTGGTGCCACGGGATGACATGCCATGGCTCTGAGCGCGAGCCCCGCTCTCACCAGATCCGGGCCTGGCGACCCACAGACGGGCTGGTGACCAGCTCCCCGAGACGGCCGGGCCTGTGGGTGGGATCCGCTTTCAGAGGCATCAAGAATGCAGCCAGGCCAATGGATACGTGAGGAGAGGGTGTGGATTCAAAGATGCCTGTTCCACAGCGTGAGAATTCAGAATGTGACTTCTGTGGGAGGCGACCAAAAAGAAGGCGTCAGCCCCAAGAAGAGCTCCGGAGAGGTGGCCGGGGTGGAAACACCCGGGTTCCTGGCAGCCGCGTGGGACTCTCGCACCATCACAGGCCGACTGCTCGGAAGAGACAGAGGCGCTGGACGGAGAGGAGGAAGGGGAGGAGAGCAGGGCTGTGGGATCGCCCAGGAGAACAGCTGCGCGGGATCCAGGGGCAAGGGGCACCGCAGCCTCCCTGTACCCCCGGAGCCACTGCCATAGGCAGGGTCCTTGGTGCCCGGGACGCGGCTCCGAGAGGGCTTCCAGGGCTTTCACATAGTTTGGCTTAAAAACGCAAAGCGGTGCATTCACAGGATGCGAGGCCACGTAGGTGCGTCAGAATAAAATGAAAATAAGCAAATGGCAGGGAAGATTCATTCTGTAAGGCCTAGGCCACGCCCCTTTAAACAAAAGCGTTTGCATAGGCACACAGCTTGCTTTACATAGTTTGTTTCTGATTCAGACTCAGAAACTGAAAACCACAGATTGCTAATAATGTATATTTGACACAGTACCTGAAAATCATACAACTAAAGAGTAGTTTGGGTTTGTTTTTTTTTTTTTTTCCAGAAAATCTCATTCTTATCCTTCAACAGGACCTGTCACCTTGACTTATGGCCAGTCTCAGAATCATTACACCCTTTTGTGTGCAAATAAAGGACAGTTTGCTGGTCATTTGCCTGTGTGCATGCATGTGTGTGTGTGTGTGTGTGTGTGTGTGTGTGTGCACTCACACACATGCCATGATGACTCATAAAATAAAATTTTCAGTATCAGTATGATTAAATTATTATCGGCATCTCAAAACTTTTATCCAGAAGTTGCAATGTGAGGCAGAGGACTTTTCTATCGATGTAATTTTCTGTTGTTTTTTGCTCTTGTTTTTGCTTCCAATGAGAAATCTTTGTAGAATCACAGATCGTCCTAAAACTAGAACGTTTTCAGTTGTTGAATACTATGGTGCTGAGAGCTTTTGTCAAACTGATGGCTCAAAATAAGGCCCCTGGGAACGAGTTCAGGCTTCCGTGAGCTGCCTGCCAGGCCTTCAACCTCCCACCAGAAACTGCGTTTAAAAGGAGTGGAGTTCTCACTCAGAACTATAACGGAGAGGTGTGATTCCATAACATTAAACTGGACTATTGCAGCATTCGAAAATGTAGTCATCAGAAGAATACTTATAGCCAGCGTGTGACACCTCTGCCTCCCCCCAACTACTGCTGATCAGGACGATGTCATCACTGGGAAAACGGTTCACTTTTGGTAACCCAGACCTGCCTGTTGCCAGGGACCTCCGAGGTAATGGTTTAATAACCACAAGCTCCATTCGACACCTCCACTTAAGATCCAACAGAAGAATTTGGGTGGCCCATCCTTACTTTTTTTGTTTGTTTTTGTTTTTGCAGTATTGCACACTGAACCCAGGGCCTTTGCGCTGAGCTACAGCCCCAACCCTTCTGTCTTTGTTACTTTTCTGTCATTGCTGAGACAAAATAATCCTGACACCCAAAGTTAAAGCAGGAGGGGGATGTTTATTTAGCTTACAGTCTGCAGAGGTTTCAGTCTATAGTTGGCTGGCTCCAAGGCAGGGTGGAGTGGCAGATAGGCATGGCAGAGGAGAAACAGTTCATGGTGGGCTGAAGGTAGCAAAGCAACAAGGAACAAAATAAGCTTCTTTCTGTGCCTTATATTGCATCCAGGCTACCAGGATCAGAGGAGTGCCAATCCATTCAGTGGACTGATTTAGTAATCACCCATCCTTAATCCTAGCACCCTTAATCCTGGTATTGTACCATGAATCAGTCACACACTCTAGATTCAGCCACCTCTGAAAAAGCCTCATCTATGACTACATGAGGCTTTGGAGAGACATCTAGACACAAGGCATAACACCTTGTTTATTTTTTATTTTCAGAAAGGATCTCATTAAGTCTTTCAGTTGCCCGGGCTGTGCTCAAATTTGGGGCCTTACTGCCTCAGCCTCCCAGAGTGCTAGGATTACATGTGCCCCTCACTCTTAGAAGTGAGAACTCCAAAGAAGGAAAGTAGGGCAGGAGATGCACCACATGGGTGCGTCAGTCTGCATGGAAGCATTTAGCCCCACCTGGGCCATTGCCGTGGGGCAGACAGAGCTGCACGCCTGCCCCTTTCTAGGACTCGCCCCCAGCACCTAGTCCTGGTGTGGGCGCCTGTGGCTCTGGTAGTCCCAGCAAGAGCCTCTTGATGCCCGGGTGCAGGACAGAGGTGGACAGCTACGCAGAGAAGCCCTCGAGTGAGTGACCCCACCAGGCCCTGTCTGGTCGATGCCTCCCCTGTCCCCAGCCCACCTTCACAGCCCACCACCAGGAAGGAGGGCCACAGGGCTGGCTCACCAGCCTCTCTGAGCTCACAAAAGCTCTTCCTCTGCTGACTGCCCCATCCCTTTAAAAATGTAAAAGCAACACCGGGAAGCCATGCTGCTTTGTAATTTCTTTTTATTTGGATGGTGCCCGCTCCCAGTCCCCGATGACCACGTTTGCCCTGGGGCTTGGAGGGTGTACATCACAGGTCTGCATTCTTTCTCCTGTTCACCTCCCTCCATCTCCCGACCTCCTCCCCATTTGAGAGAGATCGCTCTCCCTGCTTCCTATGATCTCTCTTTTATTTGCTCATTATTTATAATTTGGGTTTCTCATATAAGAGATGTTTAAGTGTGTGTGTCTGATTTATTTCACTCAACATTACAGTCTTAAGGTGCATGCATTTTCCTACACATGACTCAAGTGTATCCTTCTTTATGGCAGAGTAGTGCTCCACAGCATGTAAACACCGCACCCGAGCAGGGTGCATCCTGCCTCCCGTGTGGTTTGTAGGCGATGTTGTTGCTGCGTGCTGAGGACCACACCCTGCAGATTCTGGTCCTCCCTCAGGTCTCCCGAGCCCAGATCACAAATACCTCCCTCCCTGAGGGGTTGCCCTGGGCTCCTCTCCTCTCTTCTCCTTGCGAGCAGCTGGTGGGCTCTGGTTCCTCCCCCAGGAG